AGGAAGGGATTGGGGTTTGGAATAATGTCAAAGCCCCTGAGGGATTCTGGCAGAATGCTTCACTGCCCTCTCCCGGCCTCTGAGGGGTTGGCTGGCTTTCCTGCAGGAGCCAGCTCTCTCCCATTAGGCGTGTGGGGAGAGGATGGGCCAGGGCTGCTGCGACACTTAGTTGTGCTCTAGGGACCCCTGGAGGCAGAGTTGGGACCCAGGGCATAAGGTCCCCAGAAACCAATTCAGACTTTGCCTTAGGGAAGCCTCTGCCCCTTGGGCCCAGAGCTGCTCAGAACTCAGAGACAGAGCCCTCTTCAACAAGGTGTGTAAAACACTCTTGGGAGTTGTGGAGGCTGCCAGGCCATTCCTGGTCTTGACTTTGTCCAAGTTACTTAACATCTTTTGGCCTCAGTTTCCCCATCAATAAAAGGAGGGCTGTGAGGAATGAAATGGCTTAATGCACATGGCTGCCTAGAGAATGCCCAGGACTGAGAAGGTCTGTGTGCAAGTGCATTCTCACGACATGTGCCTCCATTTTCTCATCAGTAAAGTGGGTGATAAAGGACACCTGAGGGGCCCCTGTCCAGCCCCCACTCTGGTTTTCTTCTCCAGTGAACAGACTGGGAAGCCCTGTCACCCTGCCTACCTGTCCTGTGTAGCCTGGGGTTTGTTTCGTGCTGCCAGGAGGCCAGTAACAAAGATAGGTGGGCTTGGGGCTGGGCATTTAGCTCAGCGGCACAGTGCCTGCCTGGTAAGCTCAAGGTCGTGACTTCGATTCCCAGTACTGGAAAAAAAACCAAAAAGAAAAAAAAACAAAGATAGGTGGACTTGGTGGGTTTCTGGGCTGGGTGCACTCAGGTTTACTCCTCAGTGCCTGGGGGATGCGCGTCAGAGAAGTGGGGAGTTTCCCTTCTCGGATGAATCAGCCATGTGACCCAATCCTGGTCCCTGCCAGGGCCCCTCCCACCTGGCAGGAGTGGGGCGCAGCTGCCCTGCAGGGAAAATCCCCCAAATCCTGCCAAACCTCTGGCTGAAGTGTCTCCCTACTCAGAGATCGTTTCCTGTCTTCCTAGATCCTCACCCTCCTTCCCCAGGCTCCCCAGGCTGGAGTTGGGGGTCAGGGGGAGTTCCTCCCTTCCTGGACAGCTATTCTGATGCTTCCTCCCTGGGCCTGGGATTTTACAATGTGACTAGTACAGGGGGTGGCTTTTCTGATTTTCTTGGCCTCAGTCACCCTCCCCTTCATTTTACATAAGGAGCAGAGAACAGGCGCTTGTCCAGGTTTGGCCAGCCTATCCTGGGCCTGGGGTAATTCCCGCTGTCAGGTAGCCAGGAGCCAGGCAGACAGAGCAGAGCCCTCTGCCAGCAGAGGGTAGGCTTTGGGAACCCTTGCCTTGCATGAGGGGAGGCTGTCTCCACTGTAGGCATGGAGCCTCTTCCTGCTCAAGTAGACCTACTGGTTGCACTGTCTTGAGTAGATCTCTGTCTCTTCATCAGTATCAAAGGGAACCTGTTTTGGCCCAGCCTGGCTCCGCTGGTGGCTCTAAGGACCAAGCCTGCATGTTTCGCAAGTCAATTCTAATTCCTCATTGGGTCTACCCTGCAGACACTGGGGCCCAACCACACACTACAGGTGGACTTGGGTGACCCAGGTTTAAGTCTTGGCTCTGCCATCCACTAGCTCTGTAACCTTGAGCCACTTATTGACCTTCTCTCTGCCTTAGCTTCCTCTTCTGCAAAATGGCAATAATAGACACAAATGAAGCTTAGATGAGATAATGTAGGTAAACTCTGAGTACTGGGCCTGGCTCTTGTCAACAGAATGAGGAAATTGAGGACTAGAGACACAGAGCAACTTGCATTCAGTTACACATTTATTGAAGAATGTTTATTCAGCAACTGCACTGGCCTAGGCCCTGTGCTGGAAGCTGAGGTTACTCTGGGAGATAAACGGCAGCCACTGTCTCTAGGGGCTCCAGACACGCTGATGAGAGCCAAAAGTGGGGAGGGTATTGTGGGAGCGTGGGAGATGTGCCCGCAGTTAGGGTGAAGATGCACGGGGAGGGTCCAGGTGGAGGACATCTAAGCCAGTGGATCTGAGATGTGGAGGCAGCCAGGAAAGTGAGCAGCGGCAGCCAGGCATGGTGGTGCATGCCTATAATCCCAGCACTCTGGGAGGCTGAGGCAAGAGGATCATAAATTTGAGCTCAGCCTAGGCAAGTTAGCAATTTAGCAAAACCATGTCTCATAAAAACAAAAACAAACAAAACCCCAAAATTAAAAAGGGCTGGGGATGTAGCTCAGTCTGAAAGCTCCATGTTCAAACCTCAGTACTTAAAAAAGAGAAAAAAACTAGAAAAGAAAGCCAGGTATGGTGGTGCATATCTATAATCCCAGCACTCAGGAAGCTGAGGCAGGACTGCTGCAAGTTTGAGGCCAATGTGGGCAACATAGTGAGACCCTGTCTCAAAACCAAACCAAACCAAAACCAAATCAAACCAAGACCAATCCTGAAAATAAAGTAGGGGAGTAGGCTTACCAAGCAGAGGCAACATGTGCAAAGGCCGGAGAAGGGCCACACGCAGCTCATGATCTTGGAACAAGGATGAGCAGGGAGTGGAGATGAAGTGGGAAGGGATAACAGGGGTTGGGTCTGCATTAATTACTTCCTCCATTGATTTAATAATTTATGGAGCTGCTCTGGGGTCAAGGCTGAAATTTGGACACTGTCCCTGCGTGTGTGGATATGCGTCGGTATGTGGCTCAGGGACCAGTGGAGACAGGTATCAATGAGGGGATTACATAAGTAACCACACGCCCCTGTGACCAGGGCTGCACAGCAGGTGTTCCAACAGAAGGAAGGCTGGAGGCCCAGGGCTGCACAGCAGGGGTGAGGGAAGTGCCAACTGACTTGGGCAGGGGGGGGGTGTAGGGAAGAAACATGTGCTGAAGAAAGCTGGGGCAGGCAGTAGGCGCCAGATCAGTGTGGGTCCTTGCAAGTGGACTCTGTCCTGCAGGTTCTGGGGACCCAAGAGGGGTTTTGAGCAGGAGAGGGGCATGGGCAGCTCTGCAGGGGGATCTGTGGGCCCAGTTGTGGGGGAAGAGAGATATGGGGTAAGGGCAAGTGGGAGGCTGTTGCCATGGTTTGGGAGAGACAGGGAGGAGTGGGCTAAGGCAGGGCCATTAACATGGAGAGGAGGGATGAGTGCAGCATGCTTTGCTATAGGAGAACCCATGAGGGCTTGCACAGGACCCTTCATGCCGAAGCCTTGGCTTACTTTGGTTAAGTGCAAGGGAGCCATGTTCTGAGGCAGGCAGAGTACCAGGTTCCAACTTAGAGACCACCACCTCTGGGGATGTCCCAAGGATGGGCTGAAGGGCTCAGCCCTGGGGAAGCTCGGGGTGGGGAGGAAGCTGGGGAAGGGGCCGAGCCAACATCTCATGACTCAGCCACTTCCACCCAGTCAGCCCAGTGGCATCTCCACTCCCCTGCTCCAAATTCCAATTTGGTGAGGCTGCTGGAGGCTGAGTCAGCCCTGGCAAGGCACTTTGAGCAGCATCACAAGGGGCTCCCTGCCAGGTCCCCCCGGCCCACAACCAAGGCAGGGCTGGGGAATTGGGGTACAGGAGCCAGGCTCCTAGAGACAGCAAACTCGGGAAGGCTACAGCAGCCTAAGCTGAGGAGGGCGCCTGTGAGTGGATGTGCAACATGGGCTTCCAAGACCTAACAACAGGTGAGACTTTCTTAAGGTCAGGGGCCACACTTTGCCTGAGGCAGGGACTGGGCCAAAAGTCCCAGGTCTGCCCAACTCCCTAAATCACCCTGAGGAAACCTTTCCCCTCCTGACCTCAATTTCTTTGATTATAGGGTGGAGCCAGAACCTTCTTAGAGGTCATAAGAGTTCAATGATACAAGTGAAACTAGTTTGCAAACTGTCTGGTAGCTACGAGAGGTGAGCACAAATGATAGGGTTCGAGAGACACCCCTATGGTTATGCAGATCGTTGCATGTGTGAGGGTCCAGCCCAGGGTGCTGCAACCCAGCCCAGCCTCTGCTCAACCCATGCCCCTTGGCAGGGGACTGCCAGGACCAAGAAAGCAACTTTCTCTGATACACACAAATGCAACCTTAGGCCTTCCTAGAAAGATAAACCCTTTAAAGTTTATGGGGAACCATGGAAAAAGTGACTCCAGTTTTTTGCATGCAGGCTGGCTTTGCAGAGATTCTCAGAGTGGGAGACCACCTTCATCCTCAATAGCAGCTTATTACTGGGGTGAAGGTGGGGAGAAATTTGTCCTGACCCTGCCTCTCCCCAACAACCACCAAGACAATATCTTAATTTATACACATGATAGAACAAAAGGCCTTCATATTGAGCTTTTTCTTTTTTTTTTTTTTTTCCTTTTTTTGAGACAGGGAATTACTATGTAGTTCAGGCTGGACTTGAACTCATTATGTAGCCCAGGCTGGCCCTGAACTTGCATCAGTCCTCCTGCCTTACCCTCCTGAGGGCTACCATGCCTGACAAACCTTTTCTATTTCGAGACAGGGTCTTCCTAAGTCACTAAAGTGGTGGGGGCGAACTCCATATTTCTGCCTCAGTGCCTAGCTGAAGAGAGCATTATAAAAAATACTCAAACCAGGAGTAGTAATCCCAGCCCTTAGGAAGCGAGGCAGGGAGATCAACCTCAGCTGGAGGCCAGAGTGGGCTGAGTTCAAGGCCAGATTGAACTACACAGTGAAGCCACTTGTGGTGGCACACGCCTGTAATCCCAGCACTTAGGAGGCTGAGGCAGGAGGATCATTGCGAGTTCGAGACCAGCCTGGGCTACAAAGTGAGCTCAAGGGCAGCCTGAACTGCATAGAGAGACTCTGTCTCAAAAAGACAACAACAACAACAACAAAAGAACTACATAGGGAGACCCTGTCTCAAAAAGCCAAAGCCAAAACCAAAACCAAAACCAAAACCAAAACCAAACCAACAAAAACCGTCCAAAACAATAAAACATACTCAAGACACAGACCCAAACTGGGTTTTATTGAAATGCCAGGAGCAGGCATATGTCAAGGCAGCCAAGGAAGGGAGAAAGGTAATGCAGCTGTGAGTTGGCAGGGAGGTCCCATGTCCACAGCTCTGCATCCCCTCTCTGCCAGGGGATGGGTGAGCACAACTACCCCCCAGAAAATGGCATGCTCAGTCCTGCAGGGTCCCTGCCCCCTGGGTTATGATGCCTCCAAGGAGAGGGACTGGAAGCACTAAGTTTTCCCCTTTATGAGGGGAGAAGGGAAGAATGCAGGAGGGAGAAGTATAGTTGGAGGTGAGGGTGACCAGGGGAAGGCTCTCTTCTTGAGTATCTGCACCCAACCTGTGGTCCTGGGCAGTGGAAGGGAGCAGCACTGACGAGGCTGAGATCCCAGCCCTCAGGGAGCCAGAGCACTCAGGCTCTGGGAGCTGGAGTCAGTCCAAAAAAGAGGGCAAAGCTCAAGGGACTGAAGATGTAGGCAGTGCTTGAGTGACCTAATCCTCATTGCTGGGGTGCGTGGCCTTCTTGGGATAAAGAGAAGGAAGACAGTTGGATCCATCCCCAGCAACAGGGCAGAGAATGGTCTTTCCCACTTGGCCCCCCTAGGTCAGTTCCACATTGTTGGCACGGTCCAGCACTCGAGAGCCACGGGCATTGCCTCCAAGCTGGAAACGGCTCTCATAGAGAGTGGGGCAGAGGTGCCAGCGGTTGGCACGGTAGATACCCAGGTAGGTGTAGACATCTGGCTTGTAGGTGAGCAGGCACTTAATACCTGCTGCACGGATGGCTGAATCTGCTTCCAGTACACCCAAGCGGTCCGTGAAATCATCGGTGTAAACACAGATGACCTGGCGCCCACCCTCCTTGGCCCGTGGGCTCACCTTGGCTACCTGAAGCCGGCCCTCAACCACAGCTCGGGCAATGCCAGCCCAGGCATGGTCCAGCTTGAAGCCAGGTGCCAGGTGAATCAGCCACTTGCCAGAGAGCACGTGGTGGGTGATGGCCAGCTGGCGCAGGGTACCTGGTGTAATGGGTCGCCCGCTGGTCTGCAGAGCCTCCCAAGCTGCCTGCAGGCCCTGCACATCACCTGAGTTGGGGGTGTAGCCCTGCCCATAGGCTGCAATCCAGCCTACAGGCTCAGAATTGGGTGAACCAGGGTCCCCATAGCGGGTAACTTGTGATGGTGGGTACTTGGCCAACCAGGCGTCCAATTCAGTGGCAGGTGTGGTGCGAGCATCAAACACCAGCCAAGGGTCCATGTCGGCTGCCATGGCCTCTGCTGCCAGGTGCTCGGCGGTGAAGCCATCCTCCCGACCGCCTGGAGACTCCTCTTCTTCCAGCTCCTCACCTGGCTCCATCCTGGAGGGAGAAACTGAGTCAGGACACTTTCTTGACAATAACTACAACCGGCTAGGCCCTAGCCAAGTGTCAGATTAGACGTTAATTTGTGCCTTGGGCAAGACTTAAGGTGGCTACCTCTCAGTTGTTTCTCTACAATGGGATAACAAGATCTGTTGTGAAAATTAAACGCCTGAGGTGGAGTGAGGGCCGTTAAGCGCTGTGCTATTGTCACTACGCTCCCTGCTTAAATCAAGGTAAGTGGCGCTCAGAGAGCAGGGCTCTGCCCAAGGCCACACCAGTAGCGCTGGGCAGAGAGGAAACGACGATGCTGCGGCCGCACCTCCCGGCCCGGACGGCGGGTATCCGAGCGCCCGATCTCACGGTCAGAGGCGCAGTCCGGGACGCAGGCCCGGATACTCAGGCCTCCCGGGCCGGGTTCCAGGGCCCCCTCCAAACCGGGACGTGGAGGCTCAGAGAGGGCAGTCACAGGCCCGAGGCCACCGAGCGGTGCCCGGACTCGAACTCGGGCTAGTCGGAGCCTGCGCAGGGCCAAGCTCCAGGTCCGCCGCGCCCGCCGCCATTTGCGCCCCCGGCCTGAGCGCT